GGCTAGGCCACTTTTAGTGGAATTCGCCGAACAATCCAGTAGAAATCAACTACTGGCCAACTCTGGGAAAATATTCCACGTAACACGGGTAGGTACAAGATAACCTCAGACGTGCCTAGGGCTCTTAGAATGCAGGGTGTTAGAGCACCAAGAACGTACCATAACCTGCCGAGCCGTTTCGGGTGACGGGCGGCAAACGATCTTCAGCGACCGGCGTAGCCAAAGTGTCGCCAGTAGTAGTGATCGAAGATGTTATGGAAGACGAGCAGTGGCAAAGCTGTCTCGGTGACGAGACAGCCGAAAGCATTCTTGTCATCTTAAGATCCGAGGCTATGGCGAACACTCCTTTGAAGAGAATGTCTACCCCGATAGAAACCACTGTAGACTTGAAATAATCATTTCTATGGGGAAGTAAGCTGGATCAAGGGAGCAAGACGTCAGAAAACGTGCTACTCACTCGGGTGCTGCGCCTGAGGCCCAAGATGGAGTAAATAGAGTACCCGGTAACCCATCCACGGCCAGCTGACGGTTATTTGTAACTAACACTTGCAGTATTAAAAATAAGTGGATGGAACTCTGTGGTAATCAGAATAGTATTGAAGTTAGGAATACGAGAATCCGTACTGTACTGCTCAGAACTTAATTGGCTCCAACCTGAACTGCGGATACCAATGAAATACACTAGAAATTGAAAGCAGCAAATGCTTATGTTTTTTGATGGAATTAGACCATGTTTTATAGAATTTAATAGTTCATATGATTGGTTGAACGAGCGTCCTCCAATCACATAACCGACGCATCATATGTACTGACTCGGATGTCATGTTTGCCCAGTGTACCATTGGCCGAGCTTCCTGATCGGTGACTGGATGACATAAAACTGTACCTAGTCGTACATGGATTGTGGTCACGGAAGTCTGGATCACCACAAAATCCTTGCAGCAGCATGTGACCTGAATACAGTTGTAATAGCTGTTTCGGAAACATGGCTTCAGTACCATGATAGGGTACGAGGCTTAGTGCTAGAAAGATTTGCCATTCACAGGCAGGATCAGCCTCTAGCACCAGGAGGAGGAGTGACCTTACTCATAAGGAAGGACATTGTACACATGGTTTGTGAAGTTTCGGTGAACCTGCACTGTGGCTAACTTTGTGCTCTAACACTGCTGTTACCGGATAGTAAAATTACGATGGTGTGTGTCTACCGATGTCCCGGGGCTGAGACCACAGATGATCGGGAAATGATTGATGCAGTCTTTCTTCTGTTTGTTTCAGCTATCCCCACAGTGCTGGAGGATACATTTTCGTCGTGAAGAATGGCTGCACCCTTTTTACAGTTC